CCATGATAACCAGATAATCAGTGTAATTCACTTCACCTGTCAGTGCTCATAATGTTACGGCTGATCGGTGTATCTGGGTATTTCATAAAAAGCCAAAAGGTACATAAGGAGAGAAACTAAGCACAACTTAACTCACAGTTCCTAAATACATTTTGATGAGAAACAGCCGACAACGTCAACTTCTAGCTATGATGAACTTCTAAGACTATGCCTTAAAGGAACCAAATACAGAAATTGCCAGTTTAACCCAAAGAACACAATTTGCATCAGAAAGCACACGCTGGACACAAGCTCTGAATCTTGAACCGGTTCCGTTCAAGATTCTTTGAGCTATCTAGTAAACCAGCTCTCGTTTCCACCAGTTTTGGATGGAACCATTGTAATTGGATGCATCATTAATAGGGGGCGCTGCACCATGCACAACAACCTGTACACTATGACACGCCCACTTTGGTTCCAAAGGAAAACCTGCAATTTTTTGGTTCCAGCTGGGAACTGTTCAAAGCTAGGTGTTGGTGGAAAAAAGCCCTACCTGTCTTCTCAGTTGGAGTCAAGGCTAAGCCCACAGGTAAGGCATGAAAGTTATGAAATAATCTAAATTAATTTGTTCCAAATGACAAATAAAAAGGCTTTATAAAATCCCTATTTTTTTTTGCTTTACACTATTACACTACACTTTTTTAAACTAACTAACTAACTAAATCAGCTTGTCCCATCAACATACTTCCTCTGTCACTGGAACACTGGCACTCTCCTCTATCCGCTGATTTCAAGATATTTGTGTTGAAAAACTAAACTGAACATACAAGCAAAAAATTCCCAAAAATGTCAAACTACATATATATTTTTAAAATTTTCTTAGAACATGTATAACACAACTTCTAACAGTCTAATTTATTCTATAGATTTGTAGGCCAGTGTATCTCTTCAGAACTACAGTACTTCATTATAATGCTGTTAAGTCACAAATTTTGCCTTTATCAAACAAGTTGCTTCTGTGATTTGGTATTGCACTTGGCCATATTGCGATTTTGATTTCGAATAATTGTGTAGCCCTAATGACTACAAGGCAGAGATGGGTTCAGGTCTTTGCACTCAAGTAATTAGTCAAGTATTAGTCCAAAGTCCTAAACTTTAAGTTTTCCTAAAGAAGTCATAATGTGCTCTTCACCAAATGTAGTGCCATTTTAACAAAAGAGTAATATTATGGCCATATTATGCTCTTTTTAAGTTTAACAAAGTTTGAAGCTGAATTCTTGAACTTAAACGAAATAGTTTTTTTCCTTTGGTATAATTTTTTCAAACTGAGTTAGTTCTTTGTGGTTCTCTACTTCAACTTGATTAGTTCAAACTAATTGGATCTGCGGAATTAAAAGTTGACTTGCTGGGAGTGAATGGCGTTGACGTCAGTTGTTTAAGGAAATGAAGGGAAATTAAATGACTGGTGGCACACTTTTTAAATAATATATTTTGGCTAGGGCAAAGGAATCAAGTATTTTTTTAAGTCAAAAGGCTCAAGTCAAAGTGATGTCACAAGTCATTGGTGTTGGAGTCCAAGTTGAGTTGCAAGTCTTTTTTTATTTTGTTGAGTCTAAAGTTTGTGACTCGAGTCGAAGTCACAAACTACGAAATGTAGTGACTGCTGTAAGCCTCTAAATAAAGGAAAGGAAAAGGGGTCTAAGTTTAGAAGGGTTGAATCAATTCACTTTCAGATTCTAGGTCGAAAGAATCAGGCAAATTCCAAATTGCTATATCTCTGCTTCACTCCTCTGACTGGGTTCTTCCTGATAGAAATTAAGTAAAAGTAAAATTTTCCAGGAGATGGCTCTATTATTGAGTCATTGTACTGACAAAGATCACTATATACAGTATATTATGTTCACTTTGATCCATGATGTTTTCTACACAAAGGAATGTGTTCAGGCCATGGGAATGTGTTGGATAATGTAGTCCCAACACTTCTGAGATATGCTCACTTAAACATCAGTAAGGCATCCAAGTTTGTGGTGTGTATCTATCCAAGTGTTGTGTGAACATACAAGGCGAGAGCCTGGGAGAATGCAGCCACTGCCAACAGTCTCTGGCTGAAGTGCGAAGTCACGAAACCAAGTGAGTGAGATTTACAGCTTCACACACTGAGGCTGCTGGGAGGACTGGACGTTTTTTGTGGATTATCTCTTTTCTTCCAAAGCTATTAGACATTACAGTGATTCCAAACACTGCCTGTGAGAATTAACAATACCAAAGATGCTTGATGGTCTGCAGTCACAGTGCGTGACTTTTTATCTCCTCTAAGGAATGTAATAAAAGACTTTTCACTTGTGTCTTCCAACACATTCCTCGTCAAATACAGCGGCTTTGTCAGTGTCCCTCTGCTTCAAAAAACAGCACTGTAGATATCCCTCTAGTGTCATTTTTGTATGCACAGGACTCCACGATCAAGTTAGCAACTATAAATAATTATGTAACATCCAGATAGACTTTTAAAATGAAGCTTGAATGGTATGAAACAATTGCACTTCGGTTAGGTTTAGCAACAAAAAGTACTTAGTTATGTTACAAATTATGTTACCTCATGTAACTTAATGACGTTGCGTAAGTTACCATACGTGAAACATTTAAAAAGGTAGACTGTTTAGGATTTAGTGGCATCTTCATCGCTTCACCCTCGACTTCCGAGAGCAGAGGAGAAACTACGGTGGCCACAAAACGTGCAAAAAACACAAACAGCTCTCCCGTTAAAGGTCCAGTGTGTAACATTTAGGAGGATCTATTGGCAAAAATGGACCGCCATGTTTCTACAGTAGCCCAGAACAGACAAACCAAACACTGGCTATAGATAGGATTTTTTGTTGCCACTGTAGTTTCTCCTACGGCCCGTTCTCATTCCCAGGTTGTCAAATACATACAGCAGTGTTCAGTTAGTTGTAATTAACAACTTTACCAATAGATAACACTAAAGCTTACACACTGGTCCTTTAAAAGAAGTGAGAACATGTTGCAATAACATGCTCCAGAGTTGCAGTATCGGTTGATTGATTGATTAATTGATTGGTTTAACAACGGATCATATGACTTGTCACTCAAAAATGAACCTATAGAGAATGATCATTTTCTCAGACTTTTATGCTGTTTCTATTTGACTCTCATTATGCTGTAAATTGCATTTTATTTCATATTTTTTGTGCCTAATGTGCTCTTTTTGTACACTGGAAGAGCTTTGCAGCAAGTGTTTGATCTGTCCGTTCTGGGCTGATAAATATAGCGACCTCTGTAGATAAAATGGCTAATTGTAAGGTAACAAAAACACAACGATTCTTAGGTGATTATACACTAACAGGGTATATACAGAAATTCTTAAGTTGAATTTAATACCTTTTAATACCTTTAATACCTTCACAATATTTTTTAATACCAACAGGACTTCGAGCTGCAACTGTAGTAGCAACCTTTCGAACCTCAGTGTTGGGGGTAACTAATTATAAAGTAACAGATTACTGTCACTTTGTTACTTAACTTTCTGAGTGAATAAGTGTAGTAATGCTTACAATTCAAATCAAGTACTTATTATTACTGGATACTTTGTTACTTTTTTGCCTTAAAAAAACGCTGACCTATACACAATTATTGGTTATTTAATCCTAACCCAAGACAAAAAATGATTTTATTGTTATGTGTAGGAAGAGCACACACCACTTCTCCAGCGCTACACTCTTTCACTATCATTCTATCTCAATGAAGACAAAATGACAAACAAAAATTTAAAAAAAAGTTTAAAAACAGAAATGTTTAATTAAAGGACTTCTGTAAAAAGTAAAGTGACGAGTATATAAAATAATAATAATTCCTTTCCAAAAGGAGTATAAGGTAGCAGTAAGGAGAAAGGGAGAAAGAGACCAAGAGAGAGAGAGTGAGACCGAGAGAGAAAGAGAGAGAGAGAGAGAGAGAGACAGAGCCTACCGCTGGCAGTGGCTTGCGGGAGAGCGGTGGAGGTTTGCGGTGATGTAGTCGTCGCACTAGCGCAGAACATCGAAATTGGTAGTTG